GCTGAGCTCAGATTTATTAATATGAATGCTGTTTGAATATTTCAAATATTTTTAAGCATTTCAAGCAAAATCTTTGCATTCACATTGCATATTCGCTAGGACATGCTTTTTCTGAGTTTTAGTGTTTATACAGCACACACAGTTTTGCCTGGGAAACCAGGTATATCTACATTTGTTTTCAGTCGACCTAGGGAAACTCAACTTTCTTGTTATAAAAGCCAAACTGTGATAAGGCTTTGCAAAGAAAATCTTTTTTAAAAATCTGAGCTACAAAGCCTCTCTTGACTCCCCTGTTGCAAAGTCCCTATTGCCACAGTGGGAATATGGGGAGGCAAAGAAAATAACCCAGAGCCAAGGTACACATCCAGACTGTGTGTTCTTTGTATTTGTACATAAATGTGAGTGTTTTGTTTTTTCAGATACGTCAGCCATATGCCTATTTCAACAGCAGCGACGTTGAGAAGATTTTTTAATGTTTTCCTGGAAACATGCATCTGGACATCAACCGAGGTTGGGATTATCACATTGCACAAGAAGATTTGGTAAGTTCAGAGTGACACAGGCCTACTGATGGTGAGAGAGCAGGGTGACCAACAGGATTGGTGAGGGAAGTGGTTTTTGCTGATAAAGAAAGGCAAAGGGTCGATCTTCCCTACAGCTCCAGCGATAAGGCCAGATGCCATTAAGATAAGGAGGATTAGACCTGCCACGGTGCTGTCCTAGCTGCTAAAACCCGAGGGACAGGTGGCTAGTGGGGGGTATTTTGTCACTTCACCTTTCTGTGACCAAAGAAACTCATCCATTCACGTTAACACGTTTTATTTAGTTTAATATTATTGCAATTGACAGCAATCCAGTTATATTTCACCATCAACAGTTCTACCTGAAGCTTAAAAAACTCTCACCATCAATATTTCCATAATAATGAAATAATGAAGAGCTGAATGATTCTCACTGTTCTCTTGTGATTAACAGCTGCAGTGAAAGAGCACTAAATGTCCAACAAAAATGAACGGGTTGAAGGAAAGGTGGTGACAATATGTAAAAAAGAAAGGTCTTGCAAGACGCTACTATTTGCAGTAGTACATTAGTTAAATCTGTAATATATTGATTAGAGTTTATTAATAGGTAAGCTGTGCAGATTAGACGATTGTGCCCCTTCCAGCATGAATTACGATCACGCTGTTGAGTAGTTCAGCCTATGATAATGAATCATCTCCCTACAGTTCAGCATAAATTATACCTTTACAAATATAACAATGTTCAGTAGTGATTGACACTGTCAAAGAGCTACTGTTATGGTGAATTGGGTTGCATCATATTATTAAGTATTTTAATGATTTTATACTGATGTCAGGGGTCACTGGTGATTGTACCTGTTGTAAATGTGTCAGTAAAATAAAAAGTAGGAAACATTTAAGAAATTATTAAGCAATATCATGAATCTTTTAGTGTTGCATTTTATTTACATTTTTACTTATAGAAGTCTTTTGTTTTTATTGGGTCATTTTGTTTTATTTTATTGAGCTACTTTATTTGGGGTGTTTTGTTGTGTTTAATGTGTAGGCTACGGGTATTCACAACTTTGTGCTAAAAAGTCTTATTTTAAATGCCGTATTTGAAGTATTTGTGGTCCAACTGCAGACAGACTTCAATAAAGCTTTCATAAATGCACCATACAAAGTGTATCGTAGTGCTTTCCATATGAAAGCCTAACCTAATTCAAGCTCTTCATGCTGCTGTGACTGTTTCCCCTTTCTTGTTATTACTTTCTAATTAGTTCAGTGCAGGTTTACATCTGCTTGACAAAATAATTCAGGGAAAAACTATTTGTTCTTATTAGTGTCTTTGGCAAGCTAGACAATATTCACAAACTGAGAAGAAACCATGAAAAGCAGAAATTACCCTATGTTCCATCTATAATGGACTTTTTCAGCAGAACACAAACATAAAAAAAGACAATGCTAGTCAAAAAAATATGTTTTTAAAATCTTTTTGTATGGCAAAATCGTCTAAAGAAGTATACTTTTATACTTTCTTTTCCAAAGAAGTTATCCCCAAAGCAATTATGCTCAGCCATGCTTATGCTGCATTTGAGGAATGAATATACCAGCAGCCACTTGTATTTCAACACATTACACCTGCAAACTGTGATCTAATGAATGCTGATTTGTGAGATGAGGACAGAGAACATGAGGTTTGCTTCCCATTTGGTTCCTCAGAGTTAGTCTGCAGCGGGACCTCATTTTGAAGCTTTTATGTTAGCTCTGTGCTTAATGGCCTGTGTGCCTTCTCCGAGGCCTATTAAACACATGCAGTAAATCAACAGAGGAGGAACATACCAGTTAATCACAGCCTTTCTTTCAGGCTGAGGGAAGACAATGACTCTAACTGAATGCCACCAAGCTGACAAAGAGTGTCAGCACAACATACACTGTCAGACAGACAGACAGCCTCAACATCCACCTGCTTCTAACAAGATTCAATGCCACTGTTTCATGCAATCTCTGCCTCTTTCAGCAAACCACTCTTACATAACCAAGAGACTATAGTGGTTTTTGAAAGAAGAGACAAATATAAGTTCATATCACCTCATCAGAAAGTCCCAGTAAATGAGCTTTTTGTAAAATGGCATGGTTTTAATTGTTGGAGTTGAAATATTCTGAGCTTTTTAAGCTTACGCTGACTGCAGGCCTAATCCAACAACCCACAGGATGTAATTAATAGGGAGATGAGAATGTAAAGCCATGATTGCTGCTATTGTCGTGCACCAAGCTCTAAAATAGGCAAAACTGTAATGAGCAGAAATGAAAAACTGTTTTTTAAATGTTTATTAATTAAGGCGTTTACAGTTAGAACATGCTGTTTTCTTATCTACTTAGTCTAATGAAAAAAATTAAATAAAATTTCTATTTTTTCCAAATTGCATAACACATAATCTGTTATCATTCTTAGTTACGGGGTTTAAATATACAAACTGTCTTCCCACAACAACAACATCCTTCTAACCTCACTCTGAGAGTTTCTGAGCACACATTCCATTTTCTGGCAAAAGCTTTTTAGCAAAGTAGATCAGCCTTCTCCATCAAATACGTACAGTAGCATTCATCAACAATAGCCTAATTAAAAAGCTTTCAAGCTTGTTTTTCAGATCCACTAATCACCAAGACAGTCCAGTATTTGTTTATGGCCTGCGCGAGAACAAACGGTCTTACAGCAAATAAATCTCCGATAATCTAATTTCAGGTTGCCTACTTAAACGCTATAAGACTCTTGCAAAACCGCAGGTAAACTCTGCACTTCAGTATATGACATGCAATACTTGGAATTGTAAAAAGTACGTTGAAAAAAGTAAAGACTTGATGCGAGCAGAGCAGCTTGTTTGAATTGTGGCAAAATAGAAAAAAGAAAAAAAGAAAAAAGAAAGGTCAACCAAATTAACCAAAGCTTTTTGTTTGCCTACTCCGAATTAAAGCTCGTATATGTTGAAAAATAGAAGTCCTTTCTTTTAAAGCAGCAACATTTTTATTGCCTAAAAAGTAATTTCACAGCTCTTTGTAACACTTAAATGAGCATCTGTGCAAGTCCTCTGCTTTTGTGTGTATTTAGCTCGGTCCTTGTGGGATGACTTCATAGTTCAGAAGCAGAGAGCGATGACCTAACACTTTTATGCCTGATTGCATGTTCCTGTTTCTGTGAGTAAGAAATACATCTCAGCACCTCCCCTGCAGGAATTACACTTGGACCATGCAATAAAACACATCTCTCTGTAGAGCCGACATTAAAGTATTAATAAATAATAATGATGATGTCTTGGGAATATGTTTCAAACTGTGTTTAAAATCCATGTGTAGTTTTCTTTTTTTTAATTGTAACAAGTTATTCTACTTTTTAGTAGTTATTAAAGTTAGTCTGATCATTTCCTATCACTGTAAGCCTTAATTACATGAAATCAGTGAAATCAGTGGACTGATGACCAAATTCAGGATCAACACTGAAATAAATTGATTGCAGTCTTGCAGAAACATTATAGGAGAGGAAACATTCTCCTGCTAAATAAAATCTATGAATAAATTATTAACTCAGTTTCAAATCTCCACTCCCTGCTGCGTTTCACTCCATCAGTCATGCTAAATGACTGCAGCTTTGCACTTGTAAACATCTCTCCACAATTCCTTTTTCTAAATGTAAATGATGCTGCATGTGAGTAATAAACACACGAGTGCATTTTCAACAACACGTGCTCTTTATTTTTATATTTTTTAGTTTTGATCAAGATCCTTAAATTTGTTGTCAATTTCTTGGGTAGCAACAACACCTGACTGGGAGTCTATGATCATCAGCCAAACACATTACTTTCTCTTTATTATCAGCTTATTAGTGTGGTTAATCAGGCTGATAATGAGCCCAGGCGCCATGCCATTTAGATTTGATACCAGGCCAGGTATCCCCATCAGGCTCTCCATAGGCATCTAAGAGCTCCCTGGAGTTAAGTTTTCCTGGACACTAGGGGAGAGAGGGGTGACAGGAGGATCAGCGGTGAGTGGTGCTTGTAGTGATGATGACTGGAGTAGTATAGATCCATATGTTTGTGGCTGCTGGGATGAGAACAAAACAGCTAAAATAGGTTTAAACACACGGTGTATGCCGGATTATTTGTTAGCAGAGGGCTTTGAAGACGTGTTTGTCTTATCTCTCTGAGAGCTTTCCAGATTTTTCTGGTCTTTCCGCTCAGCAGCTGGGCACACTCCACAGTGAGAAAAAGAAATTGATGCTCACTGTAACACAACCAATATCCTTTTGACCCCTCAGCTACACACCTCAGCTACACACTTGTTCCTGATGTGCGTTTTTTTTTCTTATCACAGTCATGCAATCAAAAACAATCTAGTACTATCACCTCCCATCTGCCTCCTCTTTCTCCCTCCCTCTATCCTCTCCTTCTTTTATTCTCCCTCCCTCTCGGCTGCCTCACTCATTCCCTGAGCAGCACACTGAACTGGATAACGTCTCCTTCAACCCGCAGCACAGACTCATTTCTCTACACACCAGCTCTGAGTGGATGCTCAGCAGGGGTGTTTGAGATATTAGCACGCTGTGGGGGAACGGCTCAGGGACTTCTGCCATCCATATACAAAGGTAAGCCTCCGGATCCTCTAGATTGCATTCCTGTTTGCTGTCAAGTGCCAAAGTGAAAGTGGTTAAAGTTACCCTGTGAAGCTGCAGCCTTCAGGCATCAGGTCAGCAGCAGAGTGGTCCCAGGACAGATTCAAAACACTAAGCTGTTAAGACATTGCTGTGGGGAAAACGTAGATGGCACCGTCACAAAGTTTAGGGCAAAATAAGGGAATGAGAATGAACGCCTATGAAAGTGTGCAGATCGCTGGCTGACCTGATAATCCTTGTTTTGTTTGTACAAAACAGTACCAGTCACTGAACAAAGCCGCATATAATATTAACGTGCCTAAAACAAAGACTCCATAAGACCTTTAGCACAGATTGATCCCACTTACAGAGAAAGGCTCTTATTTTGGAGACCCTGAATCTCTGACTGTTAGATTGTATTTGATACTTTTGGGTTTTATTGTTTTCTAGCTTTTAATGTCAAAGCTGCCGTGAATACCTTTGGAAATGAGTTAAAATCAATCTGAAAGTGTTTAGCAGAATTTTAACTTTTGATCTGCAATGTCACTCAACAAATGAATTGGTTTTCGCTTAAATGCTCATCTCACTGTTGACAGAGTGTACCACTAACTTAAACACATTAATCTCTGTTGGTTCTCCCATATCTTTTTATATGAATGTGTAGAATTAACAAAATAGCCTGTAGAAGTTGTTTGCACTTGTAATTTGTCATTTTAAATATATTTTAAATAAGCTATACCATTTATTCTCTTCGCTCTTGTCTATTCTCCTACCCTCTTTGGCCAAATATCTTCAAATATGATATCGTAATTTCAGCATGGTTTTTAACTGATCAAACAAAGGAGCCTAGAAATAGAAATGCCATCTCAGCTGTGACAGACAGTGTTACTCTGCCTTGCTAAAAGCTTACTGACAGACTGTGATGGACTCAGGAATATTGAAAATGTGACAAGCCTGCTGCAGTTAGGGAGTTTCAGAGCTGTGAGTCCTTTAAATGGTGCTTATAAAGGCTTAGCGTTATGCTACATTGAGCACAGTAATCTCACAGTGTTATGAGTAGCAATATGATTACCGGCCAGGTAGCCATGTGAGCCTTTGAACTCAGCTAAACAAAGTAATTTGAACCAACAACGAGAGAAGGAAACGATCTCGATCAGTGATCTTGATGATAGAGTTGGAAATATTTACTCTCTTGGCTGATTAAAATTTTTGTCTTTGCTCGCTTATGTCTATTTGAGCCCTACTTCAGTAAAGGTTATCAAGGTTACCAACTCAGCAGCCACCTAAATTTCAGCACCCATTTTACTTCTGTGTTTTTTTTGCCTTTCTTTTAAAAAGCAAGTAAAACTCCGTGGATCTCAGCTACAGCTGACGCAAGTTGTCCTCCACTGCTAAAAGCTCGTGATTGAGTCAGTGACAATGCTGATTCATCTCACTTTGAAAGCATGTGTTTAACATGTCTTTTTTCAATCTGCTGAACATCTGAAAACCTCAAGCATGGTGCCCATGCCGTCTCTTAAAAGTGTTGCCAGCTTTATAGTTGGTAAAATGAAGATAAATCAATACGCTGGACTGACAATGATGAGTGTTTTCGGTCCTCTTTTATCCCGAGTTGTGTCTCTCAGGCTACAAAGAGCCTGTCCTAACCATCTGCTTGGTCATGTTGAGGAATAAAGATGGAAGCCGGAGGTAGGCAATATGTTTTTGGCTTCACTGGACATAAAAATAAACGACAACTTTTTCCCACATGATAAAGAAAGTGGTCTGAGAAGGAATTGGACTCCTGAACCTCCTCTAGGGTCTGGTTATAGGATTTAGAAAATCGAATTTATAATAGGAAACGCTTGCCAATTACAGGTGTCTTCAGAAGGCTACATCTTGGCAGAGCACGGTTCAGATGCTGAGTGAATCAACACTGATTTAATTTTAGTGCATGTGAAGCACATGCGCTTGCGCACACTCATCTGCTTGTTGTTCATCTATAAGATAAAATTTTAAATCTCAAATGCACTAATTCAAACAAATCAGCACTGATAAATATCTCAGTTTCCGTAATGGCGTGAAGTACAAATTAAAAGTGACATCCTTGTGTTCAACTTTTAACCAGCTTTTCCTAAAATGACCAGTCAAAAATAATACATGATGGTTTTAAAGGTTTCTTGTCTTATTAGAAAAGGAGTCTGTAAAGAATAATGAATTTTGCTTCTTTATTGTCCATTTCTTTATGCCAACTCAGTTTTGCATTAGTTGGAAATGAACATTGGATTTAATATTCAGTGAGACTGTCTGAGAACATTTGAAATATGTAAATAAGTCCCTGTAGTGAGCAGTAAATCTTGTGTCGTCACAACAGACTGAACATTATTCCTGAACAGTTTTCTACAATATGAGGTCGGTCTTTAACGCTTTGTCAGGATTGAGCCTCAGAGGGTGTTTCTATGCGGTGTGATGCTGATACAGTCTGCGGCTGGTAGTGAAGCTTTAACAAGCCCCTGCCTGCTCTTCATCACTATAGAGCCAGATATGTGCCCATGAGTATTCATCAGGAAGGGCTAATGGGCCACAGCAGTGTGAACCTCTGATTTACAGCCCGTCCCTGTCAGGCCTAATGATAGGGCAATGGGAATGGTTATGGAAGAAACAGGTGCTGCAGAGTGAATAGATGCAAAGCAATGCTGCTGAAAGCCACGGGTGATTGTTGTTTTGTCCATTGCACAAATGCTCATTTGCAATATTGTGCTCACAAATGCATAATTATTGTGCATAGAAATTAGCTCCCTTGAAGTAAAGCATGGCTCAGTGTGCATGTGTGTGGGGCTGTAAGGTGGGACCAAATACTTGCATTTAAAAAAAAACAATGAACAGAGTAGGCAAGTTTAATGTTCAACTGTTTGTTAAATTGTTGTCAGCTTGAGCGTCGCATTCGATGCACAGTGACTCTTTTCTTGCCAGATTAATAACATATGGACCTTAGCGATAAGGGTGCACCGGTGAAATGATCTTCTACACAGTACAAAATATGCTGAATATAGTAAAAGTATTAAACCATGTAGACCAACCTCTGTAGAATCATCAGGATTATAGAAAAATATTTAACAACCAAACATTCCCGCTGACATATTAAAGCTACAGAAATCCATTGTGTAATCCAAAACAACAACACATCCACACGGCTTCTACAAAAAAGTCTTTGACCCTCACACTTGGCCTTAAAATGTGTCGAAGGTGATGGGCCCACAAGTGGACAGCTGAGACACATAATCATTTACACCTGTGTATCTAAGGTGTCCAGGTAAACGTTTGGCTCTACTGGAAGGCCAAGATGCCTCGAGCACAGTTCTCGTATCTGTCTGTTCATTTTTTATAGCAACAATGTTTGACCTATGCCTGTGGTTCCTCTCCATTTTGGCACATGGTTGCTTAAACTGAAGCACCTACTGTTTTGGACTGTGCCGCCGACTTTTTTCTGAAGGACTTAAGAGATAAAGATATCCACCAGTTTCACTGGGGGGGGGGGGTTAAAGTACCCAAAATGGAAACATAATTTTGACATTTCTTTCATAGTTACTGTCTCTTAAATCACACCAAAACTTTTCATCTCCCCCCATCCGTCTGCACGATGAAGACTCATTACCCACATGGTGACCTTTTCAGTTTAAATATTAACAGCAGAGTAATTTCTCCATATTTATATTTCTCCATATTTATAATTCAGCATTCCTCCTCCTCTAATAAAATAAAAAGATTGAAGGCACTTTAACCTCTCCAGCTACTTGGATTTTATTAAGTTTATAATATATTGTTAAGCTGTGTAAAGAAAATCTCAAAACCTTATTTGTGGATTGAACAGGTTCAGAAGTCTTAATGAAAGACTACAGAAAAAAACCTGAGCTAAAACATTTTATGTCACTTTAGAAAAGAAAAATAAATCGCATCGTGCATCAAGACCAACAGTTTCACTGTCAGTGAAACTCATGTCAGTGAAGTTGTTGTAGGTGTTCGGCAGTTGAAGCTCACTCACTGCAGGTCAGCTGGCACAGTTTACCGATGGATCACTGCACAGCCCACACACACATACACACGCAAAAACACACGGCGGTAGCTCTGTGCCTGGACCATCCCACACTCCAACGGTGTCTTTCCTACAGAGCCGGCAGTTAGGAGGAATATGGGAAAATCCGAAAGCCAAATGGATATCATGGAGAAATCAAGTAAACCCGGAAAGCGTCGCTGGACTGTTGCGGAAATCGGTCTGTCTGTGCTGCTCCTGTTAGTCAGCTGTGCCTTGGCCGGGCTTGTAGTCCTCTACACATCAGCTATGAAAGGTAAATGCTCTGCTACGATAACCGTGGAAAAATCCAGATATTACAGTAGTAATGGCATGTGTCTCCCTACTCTGTTTGTTTGTAACATCAAGGCAAAACTGACACATGAAATAATCCTGGAAGTATTTTTTAAAATGGTCATCTTTATGCAATAATAATGTGTGTATGTTTTTAGATATCCTTGGTAGAAAGTTTAATGTTTAATGTCACTCACAAAAATTTAAACATTAAGTTGGAAAATGCAACTGGCTTCTGTCTGATGGCCTTTTGTTTAAAAATATAATTCAACCCACTCAACCCAGTTATTAAAGTCATGATAAATGATTGCAGAGTTTGTCTGATGTTTTGATCGTTTTTCTTGCATCCGACTCAGAACAATCAAGCAGGCCGAGCGCGTCCAGGAGCTCAACAGGTGAGGGTAAGTATAATCTTCTAAGCTCAACACAGAATACACTGCGGGATGAGCGGGGTGGCATGTGTCATATTTGAGCCTGCACCTCTGAAAGACACTGTAATACTGTAATTCCTTTTACTGCCTGATCAGCAGAGCCACACAAAAGTGAAAGAACACAGTCACTGCTGACACAGGCATTTCCTCTCTCGCACAGACTACAGATCTAGGCTACTTAAAATTGGGTCTGAACTTCACACAACAACATCCTCCCTCTCAGCTGGGGCACAGTTTGTCAAAGAGTTCTCTCGTAATTGTTCGCACTGATTTTTCCAGGCCAGCTGTTACGCTCCAACCCCAGCAATGTGTGTACAACTGCAGACTGTGTTACCGCAGGTGAGAAATCTGCTTTTTCTTTTTTTTCTCCTGCTCTTACAATTTTGAAACTATCATCCTCCCTCAGTTGCCTTGTGAGATTTTCACCGCACTGTTCTTACGTCTCTCTTTCCTCGCCGACATCTTAAAGCTGCCCGGCTCTTGCAAAACATGGATGAGTCCGTGAAGCCTTGTGATAACTTTTACCAGTATGCCTGTGGGGGTTGGCTGGAGCGACATGTTATTCCGGAGACCAGTTCCCGTCACAGCGTCTTTGACATTCTGCGAGACAAGCTGGAGATTGTCCTCAAAGGTCAGCTGGGTGAAATCTTCAGTGTGGGTCAGTGTGGGCTGCAGTATTTCGGTGAGACATTTTCAGACAGAAAATGTTTGTTTGTGTTTGGTTGTTGCAGGTGTTCTCGAGACAGTCAGTGAAGAGGACAGAGATGCCATCAAGAAGGCCAAAATCCTTTACAGCTCCTGCATGAATGAAAGTAAGGCTGTCTACAAAGGGGCAAGAGAGCACAAGATACACTGACAAAAAACTGTTTGCTGTTTATTATATCAGTCAGCCTTCCACAGCCGGGGTATCAGCAGGGTTCCCCAGCTTGAACTGAAGACTTTTTAAGACCTTAATATTTAATACTTACCAGCTGTGCATACCAGTAATTTCTGCTATGCAACCTGGGCCTGGCTAAATTGCATAAAATCGTTTGCTAGAGTAACCTGTTAGAGTCACTGGGAAATTTATTTAAGAAAACTTGCCTTTTGAGTCAGTGAATAAATAGCTTTGTATCTCAGAGCAGTGTAGGTGCCTGCTGCTGGTCTGAACTCAACATGGCGCAATTTCTTTTAGTAGTGAGACCATAATGTTCCTGTTATGTTCTACAACTGAGATTGTTCTTTTTTCCCTGCAGGCCTCATAGAGCAGCGTGACTCGCAGCCCCTCCTGAAGCTCATTGAGAGTATCGGTGACTGGCCTGTGGCGTCAGAGGACTGGAACACCACCACAGGTACAAATCACACTCTGATTAATGCCTCCTGCCTGTTCTATACAAACAAGCACGTGTGCACATGTAACACCGGCACACAAACAAGTGCTGTTCTTTCTCAAAAACATCACGCAGAGCCTGTGCAGCTATATTTGCTCTCAGTGAATAGCTGCGTATAAGCTTTGTTGGTGGGATCAAGAGGCCGGTCGAGGCTTTTCAGTCGAGCAGTCAGGTGTGGGGTTTGGGAGAGTGATGCGTGGGCAGAAGAGCAAGTCCTCAATCAGGACTGTGAAGGATGCTTTAAATAGTCCCCTCTTCCTCGTGCTCCTGGCTCTTGCCACTTTAATTAAATGTAATCATGGATGGTGGCTCAAACAGAATTAGCCACGCATAGCTGCATCTGCGCACACCGATTTACAAAGCGAGCCCAGAAAATGTGCAGCAGAGGCATAGAGATTTCTGCAGCCAGGTATGCTGAATAGCTCCTTACAGCTAGATAAATGTTCTTAAACTGAGTACAAATTTCTCTTTTTTATTTTGCAGAGGAAGCCTGGAGCTTTGAGGACACACTGGCAACACTTACTGCTCATTTCCACAAGAAGGTTGTGCTGGACATGTATGTGTGGACGGACGACCGGGACTCTCAGCGCCATATTATCTATGTGAGAAAACATTTTGTCTGGGCACAATTAGTACATGACAGCTGCTATACAACTACTACAGATAAACCTGACATTTGCTGTTGTCAACAAGGTCCGTAAACTAATGAAATGAACAATCTGTCCAACTTCCTTCATTGACTCAATCCTAATCACACGTACTCAGACATTTGTCTGGTTTCTTTTCTTAAGAAGGATGAATAACATTCTGAATTGACTGGCCACTTTTTGGCAAATGGTACTCCAACAGGGGTAGGTTTTCAGCAGGATTTAGTGCTCTGCACCGAAGGACAGTGTATCACTCACTCATCGTAATGAAGACACATGTCTCCCAGTCCAACAGTGTGTCCCATTAATGTGTTTCAGTGTTTACAGAGACATTAGAGAGCATTGTTCAGAAGAATGGCAGCACTGTTCTGTCAGTCAGTCCATCCTTTCACTTAAAATTAAAACATCTCAACAGCTCATTGCTCATGGATTGCTATGAAATTAATGGTACCCAATAAATTAGACAGACCTCTCTCTTCTTCGTTCAGCTGGTCTTTCTAGGCGTCACCACAGCATCAGGCACGTGCGGGGGGGGGGGGCTAGAGGGGCTTGAGCACCCTCCCCTGTCCTGATGGGTGCCCAAAGTGCCCTTTTGTTGAGGCAACTTTTCAAAAAAAGTTGTTATTATTATTTTTTATGTGTGTGTGCGTGCGGAGTCCTGTCTGTGCCCCTCAACAATAATATGGTTCCAAGTGCTGTCACCAATCTTTGCATTTTGTTATTATCTCATGACATTTAATCAGCTACCATCTCTCCTATGGACTTTTTAATGTCTACAGTCTCAGATCAACACAGCCCTTCCCTTCCCATATTAGATTCTTGATGAATGTGTGTTGTTGTTATTCAGACTGGCTCAATGTGCCCCTTTTTAACTTTGAGCACCCGCCCCTTTAAACCTCTCCGCACGGCCCTGCAGCAGATCACCCTATCTCTAACATCTTCCTCCGTTACATCAATCCTCTGCATCTCCTACTACATCCACAAATCTTCTTTGTGGTCATTCTCTTATCCTTCTGCCTGGCAGCTTTATATCTGACATCTTTTGTCCAGCATACTTTTGTTTCCAAACCACTCAGCCTGAGCCATCACTTTGATGTACTCATTTCTAATTCTGTCTGCTCTGGTCAATCCCAGTGAGAGACTTAATATCTTGAACTCTGAAACGTCTTCAGATCTGACAGTCAGACAGATAATTGAGTTTAGCATGCGGATTTTTGATTATCATTCTGTTACAAACACATCTCTGCAAGTATTTTATGGATTATTGGTATGAAAAAGTGTTTAATTGCTGTCCTTATTCTTATATTTTGTTTAGATTGACCAGCCCGGGCTTGGGATGCCATCTAGAGACTATTACTTCAATGATGGAAACTACAAAAAGGTGATACGCAACATTTCACTCAAACCCTGATAAAAAACATACTGTTATCTTCATGAAATTTTGTGGATGTCTTCTCTTGTATTTGATTTTGAAAAATGAATGCATGAGATATCTGCCTCCATCACAGTTCAGTGGAGGTGAAAAGGATTAATATTAAAAGCTAGTATCTGGAACCTGCAGTCCAATGAAAACTGCTCATAGTGAGATCTCATCTTGAATAACAGCCAGTTTGGTTTGGGAAAAAATGTGCTGTTGAGTTTCACTTTTGCAGTTTTTTACTCATATAATACTTAGAATATTCGTTCTAAGCTTTTGTTAAAATAAAATTAATATATTCAAAATTTTATTTAATCTATACCACAGGTTCGAGAGGCCTACCTACACTTCATGGTTTCCATTGCAAAGATAACCCGAGAGGACAGGAATTTGACTCAAGATGACGACCGAGTGTGGGAGGAAATGATGCAAGTGCTGGAGCTGGAGACAGACATCGCCAATGTGAGTGCCAGCTGCAGCAGGAAATGGAACTGTGAAACGAGGTTCAGGAAAATTAACAATGACAAGATGAAAAATGAGCACCTCCTCTCTGCTTCCAGTAAATGAGAGAATCAGACAAATACATATTGGAACCAGGAGATCAGCCAAGCTCTTAACCATCCTTTTTTTCAAATTCATGCCTCCTAGGAGCATAACAAATGAGACTCTGCTGATGAAAGGATAGCAAAATGTGACTATATAACAGAAAAAAACAAATCAGTTTAGATTTTTTTGTTTTTCCTTCCTGTTGCCTGACAGGCTACATCACCAGCAGAGGAACGCCAAGATGTCACCATTCTTTACAACAAGATGGCACTTGGTGAACTGCAGAGCACATACACCTTTAATGTAAGAATTATTTCACTTCATTTTTGTTATTGAGGTGCAGGCAGGTCACTCTGATTGGTTACAAAAAGTCAGATTGCATTGAAGTCTATAAGAAAATGATCGTACTGCTTGCATGATGTATAAACTCACTAAAGCCTTTCCTGATGACTCTTTGGTCACATTCACAATTTTAATGCCTTACTTTATAAAGCCTGACTTTTTGAATATTTTGGGCCTCATTGTAGTTAAAAATGGGATAAAGCAGGGTGTGCTTTAGGGTGAGATTCCACTCAGGTTCCCTTCCTCTCTTCTTCTCTCCAATTTACCAAGACGTCGACACCCAAAATGCTCTGTTTAAGGCTTCAGAATAGGACTTCACTAAAAATGGATGACCTCATAATAACTACCAGGACTCAGTTAGCATGTAAAATGTTAAAAATCTGTGATAGTAAGATCAGCAAAAAGACTTTGGAAGGGTTGCCAAGAGAAAACCTTTTTCTCTCTAAAAAGAGCATGATAGCACAGCTTAGGTTTGCAAAGCAGCATCTGAACGAACCACAAGACTTCTCAGACAATGTCCAGAATGGACAAAGGCCAATTTCAAGAATGCAACAATGGACAGATGGGATCAAACCACCACATTTGGTAAAAGCCAAACACCTCATACGAACTGTCAGCACAGAGGTGATGATTTGGGCTTGTTCTGCAGCCACAGGTCCTGGATACCTTGCGGTCACTGAGCTGACTGAACACCAAAGTATTGTAGTGTCAAGTTTCTGAAAGCTAAAGCTTTGTGCCATGAAACAGAACAGCGATCCCAAACACAGCAGCAAATCCCCAGCAAAATAACTGAACATGGAAAAGAAATCACAGTGTTGCAATGACTCAAAGTACAGACCTCAACCCCAATGAAATGATGTGTTTGCACATGAACAACTACCTCCAAACCTCAATAAACTGAAGCAATGTTGTAAAGAAAAGTGGGTCAAAATTTCCCAGCAGTTATGTGAGAGACAGATAAAATCCAGAAAATATTACTTCAGGTTATTGTTGCTAAAAACGATTGTACACGCTACTGAATCATGGGGTGTGGTTAGCTGTTTATAGGACTGCAAAAAGCCCTGTGAAAACTTTCTTTTTCACATGACTCCATGTACTGTTTATGAGAAAACATCCGTTTCTGAAATGTAAATGCAATTTATATGCCTTGTTTTAAATTTTGCAAAATCACCTCATTCCTTTTATTATTAAGAGTTAGGAAGAAGATCGATGACCCTTTTCCTGTACAGGAAATATGAAGATATAACCGGCAACTAGTTAGGTCAGCTTTGCATAAAAAGTTCCCAAAATGCAAAATATTTCTCCAAAAATCTGCAACAAGAAGCCCATATGGCAGTTAACAAGCGCAAGACTGCTGGTTAATAAGGCAGCATTGCTTCAGAATTATTCAGGTTAATGCTTTTGACTCTTACATGTGATACTTATGTAGCTGCAAAGAAAGTATTTACAGAAAAAGAGACCTTTGGAAACATCTCTTGGATCCTGTGCACAACAAGCGGCCAGTGTTCAAAATCTGCCGTGTTATTTTTGTGAGTAATGATGCCTTGTACAATGTTTACACCTTGCACATTGTAATTGATGGTACCACTTTAACTTGTTGTGCATGGTGGCTATTTTGGACACCGACCGACACGGGGGCCATATTTGATAGCTGAAATTAGAAACGTTACAAAAACCCAGGTGATTGATATATGCTTTTTTTTTTTCTTTTTTTCTTCTTTTTTTTTCTTTTTCTGCTCATTCTGTTGGTTTTTGGTTTTTGCCCTTCTCCCCCGTCCCTCTTCTCAGCTGTTTCTCTTTCCCTCTTTCTTTCTCCCCTTCTTTCCCCCAGTCAAGTCTGTCCCATATTCAGTAAGTGAAAATAAAAAAAAAAAAAAAAAAAAAAAAAAAAGAAACGTTACAAAAAAATGGCTGAAAAAAATAATGTTGTTATTCAGTTAAAAAGGAACATTTCATAAGCATCCCCCAAATACTCACATAAGAAAGGAGCACACTGACTTATTGGAAAGTCAGTGGTTTGATTCATGGCTCCTCAAATCCGCCTGTCTCTTTAGGCGAGATACTGAATCCCAGGAAAGTTCCTGTTCTTTCCTTCACAGTGTGTGTGTGTGTGTGTGTGTGTGTGTGTGTGTGTGTGTGTGTGTGTGCTTTCAGTAAAAAGCACCATATAAATGCAGTTAATTCACAGTGTTTGTATGGCTTTGGTCAAAAAGCAAAAATCAATAAGTAATTAACATGTTTCTTTAAGAAATACTGTTTATCAGCCATTGTTCAACCTTATTTTAAACAAAGGAGGTGTTGAAAACCATCTTAGTTGAATCCAATGAGATGTAAAATCTTTAAAGATTTAAAGTTTGTACCTACGAGTGACCCCTCACCCTCTAAATTAACTGAGAGCTGGAAGGCCTACAACATGTAACCATATTAAATTATAACTATACACAAATAAAACTAAATATGTTAAAAATATAATATATTTGTCTTGCAGGGTTTCAACTGGACACGATTTATTCAAGGTGTGCTGTCGAGTGTGTCCATTGATGTCCAGTTGGACGAGGAGGTGGTCGTGTATAGCTCTCCCTATCTTGAGAAGATGAACGATGTTCTCTCCAGACACAGTATCAGGTCAATCCTGGACTGTCATCCAAGGAGTCTGTAAAGATTATATTATAACTGAAAATATACACTGCAACACAGCTTAACAAAAACTATTCATCTTTGCAGAACTATGCAGAACTACCTCACCTGGCAACTCATCATTGACAGAGTTAACAGCTTGAGCCGCCACTTTAAAGATGCCAGAGCGCGATACAGAAAGGTTTGACATAACAGAACAACATATGCTAATGCCAGCTTATTTGAAGACAAAATAACTGTATTTGTGTGTGGTTAGACTCTCTATGGGACCACTGTCGAGGATGCTTGGTGGCGAGAATGTGTGCGTTATGTCCAAAGCAGCATGGAGAACGCAGTGGGAGCTCTGTACGTGCGCGAGACTTTTGCAGGAGAAAGTAAACGAATGGTGAGTGCTTTTGGCCCCGAAACCGCTTCGAACACAGCAGAAAGAAGTTTGAAAATGAGTTTAAATTCAAGTGAAACACAAATTCTGCTTCGTTGTTACGTATTTGTAGCATTTTTATCCAAACGCCAAATTGGAAAAAAAAAAGTACATATCATTTATTAGCACTGATGCTTTGGAAGAATTAGACAGTATGGGGATAACTTGCCTTCTTTATTTAGAATTTATCGCAGGTTTTAATACATGCTGAGTCAGCTGAGTTACTTAAATGCAGCTTTACTTAAACAGAAAAATAAAAAGGGGGTGCAGGTTACAATTGTTAATGCAGGGAAAGATAAAGACATGGATAATTTGCTCTACGGTCTAGGCTTGAACTTTTTTAGCAGTATTTTTGAGCTGCAGTGCCACAAAATTAGGAAGCCAAATAGGATGAGACTTTCCATTAGGCCATGCTTAACATTTTTATCACACTAGACAGACCTATTTGTAAACTCAAAACATATTTTTTGGCATATTTTTTCTGAGTTTCTCCTTTAGTACAGGACTCAGATTCTCAGTCTTTGTCATTTGTTCACAGGTGAGTGACCTCATCAGCAAGATCCAAGCAGCGTACGTAGAAACACTGGAGGAGTTAAGCTGGATGGACACTCCCTCAAAGGAGAAGGCGAGAGAAAAGGTATAATATAAATAAAAGTTTTTGTTGCTTTCCTCAGAGGGTGATTGGCATTATCATACTGATTGCTCTGCATCACTTCAAGGCCATGGCAATCAAGGAACATATCGGCTATCCAGATCATATCCTGCAGGAGAGCAACCAAAAGCTTGACCAAGAGTATGCCCATGTAAGTAAAAGCCTAGTTTCTAGTTTTTCTAAAGATTCTCTCATCATTGATGTGTCACATTTCTCTTTTTAGCTAAATTTCAGTGAAGAACACTACTTTGAGAACATCCTGGAGAACCTCAAGTCAGAAGCCCACAAGAGTCTGAAGAAGCTCAGAGAGCCTGTGGATCCTGACTTGTAAGTGACTGATACAACTGGTCCTGTTTCAGATGTAGTAAACACAGATGTAGTTCTGTCTATCTAAAAATGTACTGGGTGCACTGAATGTACTGCTGCTGCTCCACGTCCTTTTAAAATAACTCAAAGGATACTAAAAGTGAAGGTTAAAATTCATTTTTCATGGTGCAAAATGAGCTCTGCGCATGAGCTGTACAGCTGCTGTATTAAGTATAAATGTGCCTTAATAAAGCCTGTCACACCTCAGGTGGATCATTGGTGCTGCTGTGGTTAATGCATTCTACTCACCCAACAGAAATCAGATTGGTAAGAGCTTTACAAGAATCACACAAGGCCAACGGCAGCCTCTCTGACACATTAAAGATGTTTTTTATAGTAACTCTCCCTCCTAATCACATGCCTGTTCAGCACTGCTAGTACTTGTGATTTCACTCCCTCTTTGCCTGTATCCATCCAGTGTTCCCTGCAGGAATCCTGCAGCCGCCGTTCTTTAGCAAGCATCAGCACCAAGCTCTTAACTTCGGCGGAATAGGGATGGTTATCGGACATGAGATCACGCATGGATTTGATGACAACGGTGAGATGCTGGTGACTGATAAGTCATATTTTTAGGAACCTGAAATGATGAAGGCAGTTTGTTTTTAAGTAACCTTTTATTTCAAATTTGTTATTGCTAGCTAATGACAATGATGAGTGTCTCCGTGCAGGGCGTAATTTTGACCAAGATGGTAATATGCTGAACTGGTGGAGTAATTACTCTGCTGAGCACTTCAAAGAGCAGTCGCAGTGCATGGTGCAACAATATGGCAACTTCAACTGGAAGCTAGCAGGCGGACAAAATGTAAGCAGTTGCAGCACGTACGAAATAGCATGTTTTGTCTTGGCTGTAATACCGTTTATTAAGCGAGCACCACAATGAGTGTTTTCACACTGCTGTGTGTGAATGGTTTTGTCCGTGTGATTGCAGATCAGTGGAATCAGCACTTTGGGGGAGAATATTGCAGACAATGGAGGGGTTCGTCAAGCATACCAGGTTGGATGTTAGACGCACAAAACCCACATGTTACTATTTCAGCAGCAGTGACAAACTCCAGAAGGCTTATAATAAACTTTCTGTGTGGGGATGTGTGTTTACAGGCTTATCTTAAGTGGGTGGAGATGGAAGGTGAAGAGCCTCGTCTACCTGGTCTAGACATGGATCACAAGCAGCTTTTCTTTCTTAACTTTGCCCAAGTAAGTAATGGGGGAACATGAGCTAAAACCCGAAGCTCACAAGGAGCATTTCTTTCAGTGGATACTTTGCGCTGTGAAGTAAACAGAGCAGCAGAAGGAGAGGTTCAGGGCTTCAGAGGGTGAAGCAATCCCAAAGCAAATCACTGTTGAGCAACACACGCAGCTGTGTGGCAGAGTAGCTGCCAAAGTAAAGAGCATCTTGGTGCCACAGTATATAAAGCAAAGGCAGAAAGCTGTCACTGACAATAAAACAGTACAAATAATTAAAAAAAATCTGCTCCTCACTGAGATAAAGAGATAAAAAAATGGACATATAAAAACTGAGAGTTGATTTATTAGGTGGGATATTAATACTTTAAATACACAAAGTATTCAGAAGTATATTTGGTTGGTTTAATACAAAGAGAAGCCTGTGCAGTAATCAAAGTCTGCAAAAAATCGAGCGAAGCACTAATGCATTATTTTTTTCCAGGTATGGTGTGGTGCTTATCGGCCTGAGTATGCCAGCCAGTCCATTAAGACTGACTCACACAGTCCTTTAGAATACAGGTAAGAAGCTTTAGTATGGAATAATTTCAGAGGTACACTAATAACATTTTATTTTTGTCAGAACCTCAGACGTACCCTTAAGTCCTTCCTCTCCACTCAAATGTAAGATCTGTGCAGTGTCATTTCTCTGCACTGAGAAAAAGGACTTTAGGATCAAATCTTTATAGAAAGCACTGAAGTAAATGTGTATATATGAAAAAAATACACACACACAAACACACACACATATGTATATATACATAGTGCGTGATAATGTAGCTCTGAAAAGCAGAAAGAGGAAAAATGAAACTGAATAAAACAGAATTAATATTACGTGTTTTGTTTTATATAATGACCCAATGAAGAAATCTTACTGACTAAATAAAGATTTGGATGCAAAATAAATGCTGCTAAATTAAAGTGTTGGTGCAGCTATGCTGAAAAAAACCCTACTTTTTACAAGCAGCAGTCCTTCATTTTTTAGAGCATGTTTGTTGGAAATTTTATACATTTACAACACTGGAAATTCATTCAGCAGGGCTATTTTATATAAAATCAAACAAATTTAATGTATTTATATGATATGATATATCTTTATTAGTCCCACAAGGGGAAATTTCATAAACTATATGAAATACTTATACATATATAAAGTGTTTTGAGTTTCATCTATTTTTAAAATTCACAATAACTTTAGTATATTCACTTAAGGCATGTACAGTTTTACCTTACCATAATAGTATGAATGTTCTCAGACGTACAGATGCTCTCAGTACATAGGGGTAGATCAAAGCTTTTTTTTATTGCACGTCATTCTTTCCAACAGTTATGAGCCCTCATGACTTCTTAAGTACAGCACATACCCACGTGAAGTTTTCAGACACATTTAAGCTGTTAAAAACCACAACCAAATCATCCACCCACTCCAAGTGTCAGCATAATGTTTTTCCATAATCAGCTTTGAGCATGGGCCCACACTGATGACGTAGAAGTCTCAAAAATGTATTAAACATGATACACTCGGTGTTAAATGGTTAAAGCTTGCGGGTAAGTGTGGAAGTGGCTCAAAAAATGAGGTACTGTGAGTATAATTATCACTTATTTGCACTTTGTAATTCATAGTTGTGCTTTTATGACTGACCTTTTATGACCTTTCCTCCCGTCTGAGTGCAGCTGCACTCCTCAGCTGAACAGCTCTGCTTTGCTTTATTCAATTTAAAGATTCTCCATACTGAAAATATAAGCCTGATACTCCCACTTGTCATGACAAAGGATATATCCGTGAAGTACTGGTGCAGTGTAGCTCAGTTTGTTGATCCAAATGAGTACTTGGAGACTGAACTAACACCATCAACATACTTTAGCTTTTATTATCCTTGATGTTCTGCTTTTCTTTTGTCCTCAGGGTCCTTGGATCGCTCCAGAATTTTGAAGCTTTCTCAGAAGCCTTTCAGTGCCAAAAAGGCAGTCCAATGAACCCTGAGCTGAAGTGTCGGGTCTGGTAGAACTCCTGAGATTTGTTGGTTTTCTTAGCATGGGCAAGTCAAATCAAAAGAATAAGTTGTACTTTAAAACCCACAGAGATATCCTGCTCATGACTTATTCCAGTATGTTTGGGGCCAAGTGATGACGCAGACACGTGCATATATGGTACCGTAGGTGTTTTTTAAACAGCTGGCGTCCTCAGTACTCCATAGGTTCTTAAATTTAAAGCACGCAGATTGTAAAAGAGAAACTTGCTTGAATATCTTATCAAGTTTGAATTATTGTCAGTGGATGAGGAGGTCAGTTGTTCCCTTTTGTTTTGTTTTTATTTGTATTTTTTTTAATGTCCCACATCGGGGCACATGAATGGAAAGGCTACATGGAAAAGATGAGACTTTTTGAAAGGCTTAATGAGGTTGACTTTAAATGCCCAGCGAGCATTTGTTGAACAAATTCTTCTCATAAATCTTAAGTGGATTTTTGTAATTTAATGTGTAGCCTTTCATCTGATGTACTGTTTTTAAGACATCGTGCCACTTCAGAAGGAATAATGGTGAGCAAATCTGACTCTGGCTGAAGAGCATGAAATAAATGAGAACTTACGGCTTTGCTGATGCAAAGCTACAAAAGAATTAGTCACACTCTGAGAGTTTGGTCATTCACTGTTACATGAAAACAAATTGCTTAAAGACTTTAAGACTGTTAAATCTTTGCAGCTTTAACCTTAAATTAACACTCTGAGGGAGCTGCTGCGTTTAGCATTTTTACACTTACGGCATGGATAAATATTTAACATTTTCAAAGCTGGCTAAGCAGTTTTCTAAGTTTCTTTGCCACATTTTGCAAATGATTGTTACTCAATACTCTACCACGGAAATGTACTATATACATGTACTGTATGTCATGACACTTTGCTGTGGCCTGCTCCTTAGATCGTGAGAAAAAAAACCCAGGATTTGTTGGAGGTCGAGTGATGTGACATTGATATTAGTTGCATTATTGGTTACTCCCACTTTTGACTGTAATCTGTTTAGACCCCAGTTGTTATGTGTTTCTGAAGCCGAGAGGTTAAAGAGCTGAGCTCAAAATCCTTAACATGACGTGAACCTACATTCATTTTATAAAATAATGTTACTCGTGTGAGATCTGTAAGTTCACATTTAACCCAAAATAGTGCTTGGGTTTTTAGTTTTGTGCGCTTTCTTTCCGACATGAGTGAAAACTCACACAGACATTTAGCCTCTGGGGCGTAGCCAATTACATGCTGTGCTGAAATGAGGGGAAAACCCCCTCAGATACACTTGGACAGGCAGCAGATGAAGTGGTTTTCTTCTGATCTTGCATTGATCAGTGTCGTATGAGATGAAAGGATGGAGCGCGGTGACCGCTGTAGCTGATCCACAAGCTCGCACTGAAGATTGGGGCTTGTCATTAACAAGATGGCCAGGGCCAGGACTGTTATTTTCTACCTTTATTAACAAGTAATGACAGGAGAATCAAAGAGGATGGAGACACTGGCTGCCGTAAGCCGACATTTTTGTGCTGGAGAGAGCTTTCAAACACAAACAACACACACACACACAGACGGTTTTGAATGTTTGCTGTCACTGGTCACATTTAGGGTGGCCTTGGTTAACTGAACACGACTGTTAGGTCTCAACAGAGGCTGCTAAATTGAATGTGCATATTGAAGCTTTATACTTTCAGAGGGTCAGTCTCAGTGCTCCAAACAACAAAAACTGTTGTTTCAAACGGGGGGGGGGGAGAGGAAATATTACTGAGAGATTTTTCCCCAGAATCTAAGTGATGACAGTGTGCTGCCATCTCAAAGACAAATGTTTGACATTTTGGGAAATGCATTTAAAAAATATATACATGTAGGTATTCATTTTCATATTTTCACATTTAATAACAAAGAGGAAACAGTTACATCTGACTAATGGTAACAAAATTCACCTTTCAGCACCTTTGTCGTTTATAAATCACAAGGATGTCTACTAGAAATTACAGCTACTGTATATACTTAAAGATTTTCCCAGAGAACAACAATCACTTGGCTACAGTTAATAACCCTGGCTGTATCTAAAATCATTATGTATTATATTTTAATTAAGCCAGACCCAACTTTATCACAGGTGGGTAAAAAAAGCAAAGGACAAAATAGTTAAAGTCTCTTAACCCGTAAACCTTGAAACACGAAATAGTTACCAGTAATTTTTTTTTTTTTAAATCTTCTGACAAAATCTTCTAAACAATATAAAGTTAGGATGCAAACCTCTAAGTCAAGTTTGGCAAAAGTTAATTAAAAAACAAAACCTGCCAAAGAATCAAAAAGAGGCACAACTGGGGGGTAAAAAAAATGTTTGAAAATCAGCTAGCAATGTGGCTCAAAATCAACTATAATCACAATAGTTGCAGTCTACTATATATATATATATATATATATATATATATATATATATATATATATATATATATATATATATATATATATATATATATATATATATATATATATATATATATATATATATATATATATATATGCGCGCTGAGAATGATACAAATAACTTTGTTGAGTGAACTGGTAACTGCAAGGGTGGGAAAGGCAGGGGTTATCCTAGGGCAGGTGGTAATAGCATGATCTGAAATGACAGAAGGGTTAGAGTTTGAATAAGCTGTGACAGAATCTTCTCCCAACGGAGGCCAGAAACTAACACAGCCAACCCATAGTGGACCACCAGGAGCAGTCATGTAGAAGATAAAGGGTGCAGGCGGACAGGCAGGAGGGACGAATGGTCCTGCTGGAGAAGTTGAAAGCAGAGCTGGGACAAAGAGACGGGACAGTTGCTCAGAGCAGGATACCTACTCGCCACTGTGCAGCTATTTTAGCTTGAACCTGATGTCACCTGATGTGAGGATAATGTCTTTATATTCCTCAGTTCTCAGTGTTTTTTGAACCAGAGAGATAAAACACTGATAGTTCAATTCAATTAAGTTTTATTTATACAGCACCAAATCACAACAACAGTTGCCTGAAGGCGCTTTATATTGTAGGGTAGACTCTACAATAACCAGTGTTGGGCAAGTTACTTTGAAAAAGTAATTAATTAGAGTTACTAGTTACTCCTTCAAAAAAATAACTGAGTTACAAGATTCTGAAAGTAATTAATTACTTGAAAAGTAACTATTGCGTTACTTTAAAAAAATGTTTAACCCTCTGGGGTCCGGGGATAATTGGCCATTTTTAACCACTTTTGATGTTCCCTCCACATTTCACCTTTAAAAACGATTTACTTTGCCTTGTTTGGTATCATTCTTTTCAGCACAACCTCACGTGTCTGAATTTACAGTTATGTTTTCATGTTGACATACTGTATTAACACAATTGATCTAAAATCAGACAAAAAACATAAAATCCGAGTAGAAAAAGTTTTATTTTTTTACTGTAACAACCAAAAAACATGTTTAATGAATCATATTTCATAACTTTAAATGCAAATATAAATTCTCCATTTTAAAATCATATGCACAAGTTTTGCAAACAACAAAGTTATTTGCAGCCATTTATCTTTTACCCCCTTTTCTTTTTAATAACCATTCAAACTGTTTACATAACAATCAGCTGTTCTGCATTCAATAAGATGCCGCACAAATTATTTGTGCCACTCCAAATATTTCTGTCCACTATAAAGGAGAACATCACAGCCTGATACCTGCAGGTCTGAGAGCAGGTGTATCACTCCTGTTTCTACCTGGAGACAGCAGTCACCTCATTGTTCTGACACACAACACAGAACTATCCACAACACTACACACTAACTCCACAAGACACATTAACTACACACTCCAAACACGCTAAACGTCACAAATCTCTCACATCTCAAAACTCACTCTCTCTTTTTCTGCTCTCTCTCTCTCTCACTGTGACTCCTAAAACTTCCCCCTCTTCCTAAACAACCAAATCTCATGTTGCCATATCATTTTTTGATTGGTCGACTTGGTGCATTTTTCCACCAACACGAAGGGGCTGGTTTTTTTTTTTTTTTTTTTTTGGTCATAAGCAGCAAGTGCTTACTAGCGCTGTCCTTAGACAGTAAACGTGATGAAACTATTCAGGAAAAACACCAGTATATATTGTTTATCATGACTCTGGTTTTACGTGGCCTATCAACACAATTTAAAAACTGGTATATATCACCTTGTATGTCTTTAAGTGGTCATGTGATTGGCTTACCATGACTACTTTATTCTTCCTCAGTCAAACAGCAGCACTCATGTGATCGTTTTGCCCCCTTAGCTCCAGGTGTTGTGCTAGAAAGTGATCGTGATTACAGTCCGTGGGAGCGCGCAGCTGCTTAAAGCTGTAGCGCCCAGATTACTTACGTAGTCAGCTACTTCCGTGCAACTGATATAAGATGCGGTAAGCTGAACACAGCTTCAACCGTCTGTTGAAAAATAGTAACGTGACCGCATTTTCTTGTTAGTAACGGTAACGGCGTTGTAACGATAGAGACAGTAATTAGTTAGATAACCCGTTACTGAAAAAAGTAACACCGTTACTCCCATCACTGACAATAACACATACAGGACTGGACAAAAGATAGAGGAGAACGTCAACGACACTGGCAGGAGTTCAGGTATTTGGTGAAGACCATGCACTCCAGGTTCCCGTCAAAAGTCAAAAAAAGGCTACTCTCAGCCAATCTCTGTGCTCCTCCAGAGCAAGCTCCACAGCTGTCAGTTCACAGTTGTTAGCATCTTCTGTTCTTTCTTTACCGGAAAGCTTCCAGCAGAAAATCAAAGGTATATGGATGGACATACAGTGAACGGTCACTCCCAAAGTTTGTTAAAGTCCTGGAAGTGCCAGCTGATGAGCTTCTGTATGTCACCAACAAATATGAGTACAAATGAAACTGTGAATCAACATGAATTGCGAAGTAGGAAAGAATCATGACAGACTCTGGTCAATTTTAATTACGTTTTATTTAGCATCAAAGGTAAAGAGCCTACAATAACACGGAGAAGCAGAGTGATACTGTGTGATGGCATTTGAACATGTCAGACTGTAAGCATAATTTAAACCAAGAGCAGTAGAGGGTCACAAAACCGTGTGACCCTCTACTGCTACTGAGCAGTACTCTACTGAGTGACCGACAGGTGCATTTTTAACTACTAGAGAGGGCGTTTTCTTTCTATAGCTTTAGGCAATTTTAGTTCCCTTTGGACTGATATGCGATTTCCTTCTGTTTCAAGTTTTTTTTATGCCGAGCCCAGTGAGGTATCAGTCCTCTGCTAACTTTCTCAAAATGTCAGATGTTTCCTTTGAACAACATCGCACATTTTAAAGCGATGCTGGGAGATGGTTAGAAGACAAACAGTTTAAACTTCATGTTTTGTGCAACAAGTTGTTAACTGAACAAGGGTATAACAAATAAAACGTGTTATTGTAGATGCTTGATGTTCTCCACGGAGGAAAATCAGGTACAGAAGAAAGTGTGTCTTCACTTAGTTTTAGCACCACATTTACCTAAATTGTGAAATTGTGTCGTTTTGAAGTTACCAACTAGAAACGCATTTTTTGCTATATATGAACATGTTTCAACCTGTATACCCATTTAGAGTTTATTTAGCTAAATGAATATTTATGAAATATTATTGCTTTGCAAGATTCCAGATGTTTAAGATGTTTTATGAATGTTCCTGCTGCTATGTAATTATCTAGACTGCTATTTTTGTGACTCAGATATGTTATTATTGCCATTAAAGTGACTGTCTCAACTGGCGCAATCTCAAGTCTCTCCTTTAAAAGTGCAATTTATTTTTTTAACATAAAACATGACTAAATCTTTTAGAAACCATTCTCAAACTGCAAAAGACTAAAAGATGGACACAGCCACAACTGCATCACCCATCGGTTTGTGCACTACCTTTATACACCTCATGGCTAGCTTAAGGCCGTCCCTATCTCTCTTTCTGAAACCAGGAAAGGCCATTTGTTGACAGGAAGGGAGAGCGCTAAATTATCAGTGAGCAGACTTGGTTAGGAAGGTCACAATTTCTGTCAGACAGCCGCAATAAAAATCCTCCAAATGGCACCAAGACAACACAATCTGGACAAGAAGTACAGTTCAGTTTGTAACTATTTTTTAAAGCCAGTAATTACAATCACTCACCACCAAGTTACTCTTGAACAGTAAGACCCTGCATAAATAAAACACATAAACAGACTCGGCCTGCAGACCATCACCTGAGTGCTGGTGATCCACTCGTTCCTCTAAACGTTTCAACTTTAAATAAACTCTTAAAAAAATATATTTGTTTTCTGTTTACTCTTACTTGTGTCACAGGCTGGCTCAAGGAACTGACAGAGGAGAGGAAGACTTGAACTTTTAACTAAATATTATTTTCATAAAATGCAAGATAACCATAATATGAGGAGAGTAACTCAGTAACATCAGTGGAGTGCATGCATGAGGAAATAGACCAGTGTTAGGTATCATGACAGAGGGCCTAAAATATCATCTGAATCTAAGTTTATGTTACAGGTTTGTGAACTTGTCCAAAAATGATATATAGTAAATTTAATATATGAGCATAAAATGAATCAGAAGTGACATTTTTCTATAAAGTGAAGCTACAAAATGGGCCAATTTCAGCTTTAAATTATAAACAAAAAGAGCTGTAGGTGTTAATATTTGAGCCCTGTCAGTTTAGATTTTGTTTTTAAAGTAAATTTTTGTGGATTTTTATCTTTTCTCCTGAGACGACAGTGAAGAAAAGACAGAAGAGAGGAGACAGACATGCAGTGAACATTGTCAGAGCACAGTCAAACCCAGACCTCTGCATTAGCTTTATGACATATGGGTCACCTGCTGTGCCCAGCGAGCTAAAACAGCCTCCAGAGTGTTGAATTATTAATGAAAACAATTCAAGAAGTCAAATACCTCCTGACCCATTTTGAAAGTCTTTAAATGAAGTCAAAGGCTTTTTAATGAGCAGATATTGTTAGACACATACAAAGTAAAGCTTGTTCTTTATAAACTGGATATTAAAAAAAGACAATCACAGTGATGTAAACACAATTTAAATGTAAAATACCAGCTGTTGTAAAAACAAAGATTAGAGCACTCTATTTGTACCATAAACCATTACAGTTTATTAAAAAACAAACAAACAAACAAACAATAGATTAAAAACTGTGGCACTGGAATATTATTAGTGATTTAATACTTCATTGTCAATCATTTTAAACGGTATCCCACTTCATGAATCTTCCAAAGAGGCGAGACGTGCAGTTCAGGTACGAAGAGCAGCTCCGTCATCATCGTGTACAAACATCATCGTTGCACTGCAACAGATGACAAAGATGCATTAAACAATGAGAACAATAAATAATGAGCCTCAGCCATGTATTTAGGAGAAGCAGCAGCTCATAGATAAAGATGCCGCTCACCGATCACCTTTTGTGGATAAAGCTCCATCAATAGGAAGCCTTGTTTGTCTAAACACCGCGTCTTGTTTGCGGTCCCTCAGAGTGATCGCTCAAGTTAGAACACGAGTCATTCTTGTGGGAAATCTAGTTTGAGAGTTCCCAAACCTGGGCACAGATAGAAGAACCTCCAAAGTAAACAGAAAGGTTTGAGGAGAGACATTACTTCTAAACCCATGAGTGGTCTTAGTGGTTTTATCTGGACCAGCCTGTGACCTCTCTCTGTTAACAAAACATTGCCCGGGCCTTTCCAAACCAGACATTAGCTTGTGACTTTTACTCGTTCCTGACACATTTTGACCCCTCAGAGATAACAAGGTCTATTCTGTTGTGGGTTGCAGAGATGACATCGGCTGGTCGTCAGAGATCATGGGGACATGTTGCAATAGTTTCGACACGGTGGATTCTGTGGGAAGCGAGCAATAGCGCTCAGAGGCAAAGTGGTTGAAGAGCATGTGCTGGATGTGACGGGCATGTCGAAAGCCCTGACGATCACAGGACAAACCCTGCAGAACTTAAAGTGTTAGGCCCATGATCTGTGAGCAGTTTGTTTTGTGAATACACTAACATAAACCTAGGCCACATTTTTTTGAAATCTTATAAATCAAACTGAATTCTTATATCTTATACCAACACAGCAATCAATGCAGCTCATTCTCTGAAGCAGAGTTTCTCAAAGTATATCAAAGGTTCTCAGAGCTACAGCCATCAGGATGTGGATGACCGGAGGGGGCGGGGGGGATCTAAGTTGAATGAAAATGGTTGTACAGGAGATAAACAACAGTTTGCTGATCTGACCTTTACTTCATTAAAGTTCAGATTTATTGTTGTCAATGACTGATAAAAACTGACAGGTGTGGGGCTTCTTTTCTTTTCTTTTTTTTTAGTTTGTGAAGAGAGAAGGAAAGAAAAATAAAACACTGCACTGTCTGTCTGAGACCTGTGCAATGCCTGCACTTACAAACTGATAACATATAAACTGCTGTGCTTAACTGATGTTAAAAAGACAGTTTTTTTGTAGCCTGAATAGGTGAAATGGGATGCATAAGTGTTACCATTTTCATTAAACACAACAAATGCTCTGATTTTGCAAAACTAATTTGTAAGTGTAACAATATGAACACTTAATCCTGAGATTATTCTTTCTTATCAAGAACACAAAGCCAGCGCAACTCACCCTGCAGAGTGAAGCAATACTGAAGCTTTGATGTTTTATGATGTTTTTATTACGACATGCTGATGTCAGCCTGTTATGGCGTCATATATATTACTCGATATGGCTTCTTGAAACTTTTTTAGAGGTCATCCTTGACCTTGGGTGCTGACTGTGAAAGTCAAGGTCAAATGCTTAGCCAACCTAGGTACTCCTGTCACCCAGGTTGAAAGACAATCCAAAAACAAAACACATGTGAGTAATATAAAGTTTTTACTGATTTTGGCCTGACCTTGATCCCATTTTCACCAAAATGAAATCAACTCCTTATTGTTATCTGCCATCACACAAAATGTGAATATGTCTTGAAACCTCTGAATGCTAGACTGCTAACAAACAGACAAACAGAACATATTACATACTCCATAGTGTTACTCTTGTAGATGTTTTTATTATAGACACAGGACCGCAATCAGCAGCTGGTTAGCTTATCTAACAAGTGCCTGGCTCTGTGGGAACATAATAAATACCACCTCAGAATAAGATGTGCAAAACCTTTTTTTTAAGTTTGGATACAGCAAGCCATTTCCATTCTTTGTGTTGTATTAAGCTAATTTTAGCCTGGCTGTAGCTTAATATTACAGTCCTGTTTCAATATTCTTGCGATGCCCCCAGCCAGAAAGCCAGATCTCTCAAGAGATTTAAGAGTAAATAGTCTTGTTGGGTCTTGTACGTTAACATAAACTAGTGGTTTTGCAATAGATACTAAATTCCTGTTTGCAGTAAGCAAACAGTTAAAAAGCAGGCACAATCTGTCACTAAAAATGTGTTAAGTGCTGAGACTTTGCATATAAACATAATGATGGTAGTGCAGTAAGCAAACAGGAACTTATGTTATTGTTAAAAAATTCCCTATGCAAGCAGACTACTTAATACTACATAGCCTCCAAAAAAAAATACATCCCATGATTTAAAAGGTTCATGATTATGGAGGAATTTTGATCCTCTCCCTTTGCAACAGTCATTGTTGTAGATTTACTGCTGACTGGAATCATTGGCCCTGTCCTCTTGTTACATTTCTAGGAAAATCCAAGTCAGGTTACGCTGTAATTTACGACGTAGGGTTTCAGAAGGGTTTGAAGTTACTGCTGAAGCATAATTCCCAAGTAAGTGCTCAACTTCAAATTTGAAGTATCTGAAATCTAAGCAGCGCTTCATCACAGTGGTCGTAATCAATGAGGAGAATCACATGGATGCTACAGCGAGCCTCTAGTGAGGCTATTGCCAGTCGCATGGTGGAGGAGAAGCGACGATTATGAGCTCGCTACACAATAAGGTTGAGTCAGGACGTTTTATAGAAAACAAATCCTCAGTATAACCATTTTTGAAAAGGCAATAATGCTCTAATAACATATAATTCTCAGTTTTACACTTTAAATCTGCTGTAGTTTTAATATTAAATATCTGTAGTTTCTGTTTTTCATTCACAACATGTTTGCCTGCCACAGGCTGTTTATCATTTGTCTCTCAGTGGTAACCAATTTATGACACTGTCATGACAACACTGACCTTCCAGCTTCTTAAAATCCCACTGTGCACATTAGGTAAGAAAATTCTGAGTCGCCTCTACCAGAGGGTTTAAAAAAAAGAAAAAGGATGTAAACAGGGCAAAATGATTAGGGTGGAAACCACATGAGGTAACAATGACCTCAACAGAAATGGTCACCGCAGCCAGTACTGCCAGTCATTCCCATGTCCTCTTACTAGACATGTCCCATTTCTGCTGTGCTGTACGAGTAATCTACCACACATACACAATGATGATGGTAGTGATCAAGGACTTGCTAAAAAATATGAATTCCTCCATAATATAGTGATAATTTCAATCTGCAGAGCATTTGTGCTTTTCAGCTTGCACTACAGCACCGCTATTATATGGATCTGTAAAATAACTGCTGTGTTTTCAAGTACGGAGATCATCTTCAGTCAAGTTTAAAAGGTTTCGGGGCCTTTGACACAGACACTGACAGACCATGAAGATGCTGTAATAAGTGTGAAATTGTCTGTGAAGAGGATACTCTGATGCATTTGTCTCTACTGACGTAAAACAGACTCTGTTGAAAGAAACTGATGATTAGATCCCTCCAGTGTTTTCACACACACAATGACACCAGTTTGCTCTAACCCATTTAACCCTTTGCTTTACAGCTCAGTTCATAGCATCAATTATAACATGGACATGCATGGTATGCCTTACCACTGGCCTCTGTCCTTCTTTTACTGTGGCTGAGATACCCAGAGCCTTGGTAATCTCCTCCAAAGGCAGGTAGTCTCCTGGTGAATCTTGGATAAAGTGCAGTAGGACCTTTTCTCCACCTTTGCAGTGCAAAAATAAATCACTTAGATACTTTCATCATATAAACAACTTGCTGGTCCTGTTTATTACAATATAATAATGTAACTTTGCTTTGGTTGCCTCACTAGGGATCCTTTTTTAAAAGCAAAATACATGAAAATAAAAAAAATGCTACGGCACACACAGAACAGTATTTCAAACATGTATGTATAGTGCAGTTTGGTTTAACGCAAAGCTTCTGTTTGATAAACTACTTCCAAACACAGAAAAATGTTAATATTATAGAAATAGAACTTCACAGGGTTTACTGTGTAGGTGTTGAAGGACTTTTGGTGGAGCCAAGGCTTTAACACTGGGAGACACACCAGACAAAGTGACCCACTACCTACTCTACCAGATGCCTTTTTCCATAAGGACAAACTGTTCTACCGCACCGTAAGAAGACTTTGGCACACAAAGAGGGAGAATTAGAGTGACCAACCATTTTATTTGTATTGTAAAATTAATTGAATACTGTCAAAAAAACCTTTTAATATAGTCTTCGTTTTCCTAATGTTGTGCTATAATGTATATATGTAATGTATTTAGGACTGTGCCTTTTTATTTGGTGAGCATATTTGCTTTTATATGTTTAAATATAGCTAATAATCTAACCTTAATATATTCGAACAATTGAAAAATAATCCTATACTTCATGTAAATGAGCAAGAATAGTCAGCAGACCTGTGGAAAACTGGATTTAGAAGTAAATGCTGCTCCTGACTGCGTCACCATAATGTGATGCTGCACTGCCCTCTAGAGGACACACCACAAAAATGCAACTTAAAATGACAGAACACCTTTTCTGTACTCAGTGCCATACCACAAGGTGAATTATGAGGAAAATCCTCTAATTTGTCATATGTTTTAACTCCTTATCTCCTGAATGGGTACTAGGGGTAACCTCTGAACTGAACTGAACTGAGCCATTTCTGTCATACTTCAGGCCTGCTTCCAGAACAAAATACCTGGGTTTTCATCAGAAGTTAGCACGGATGATCCCTGCCTATACAGCTTACCATGGATGCCCTTAAAAACCTGAAACCTGTGCTAATAGTTGTCAAACCACATCTTTATTGGTACAGACTGAGGTAACAAAACTTGTCATTAGGGGTACAGGGGAGGTGGTCATATGTCATCTTTATTTGGTAAAGGTTTAAACAATCAGTGCCTTTCCACTTACTTTTACATAATCTTAAAATGGACCCTTGCACCCCTCCACCCCACTGGTGTCCACCCAGTTTACCTTTGGCCACAATGACCATGCCTCCACTCTGGAGCAGATCTCCTGAGAAGTTTCCCTGGATTCCTTCAGCGCTGGCCTGAAAAAAGCAAAAATTATCAGCTTGAAAAAGCCACCGTGTACCACTGCTCTTTTGTTTTTAATTCGTTTTTGAAAGTGACAAATATGTCTACCTTTGCTGCTACATCTCGTACTTTTTTCCCCAATGCTGCAGGAACCACACTTAAAGCGTTGTACCTGAATGGGAAAAGAATACAGTTTTTCCATTACAGAACATTAAATATTCGTGCATTTGATTTGATGAATGTTTTCTTGATTCCTGTTATGATCCCAAGATGATGTTTTAAAATGATTGGGTTGGTGAAATTTGTTTACTATAATGAATTAATTGAGTCAAGATCAATACTGTTTAAGTTACTCCTTTTTTTAGTAAGTTTGACAATTTAAAGCAAATCACATCTTGGTCAAAGCACTGGTCTTAGGAGCTTATCCGTTTTAGGTTTGCAAGAGGTAGTGCTGAACACTACCCCAGCTGTCATAGGGCAAGAAGCACTGTTCACCCTGGGTAACAAATACGAAGACAACAGCTCATGCAGACAATCGCCTGCCGGGGTGCATGGCTAATTAACAACAGCTAGTTAATTTAACACTGATTGTAGTAAAACCCATGCAAAACAAGGAATAGCATGTAAACCCCACACATAAAGGCCCCAGCAGGTTAAAACCTAGAACAGGGTTGTCACTTTAATCCTAAGTGGGCCACAATGGGTGAAACTCTTCTTTCTGTTAGTGTAAAGAGATTTAACTATACATTTAATTCCCAAGATCTTTTAATGGAAGAAGTGTAATTTAAACATTACATCTCTGTTTTTCTACGTGATTAAAAAATGCGTCTTTGGGCTTGAAATGAAAGACAGAAATTTGTAATATTGCAGAAGAAAATTTTGTTAGCTCATTGCACAGACTGCCCTTTAGTTATAAAATGGAAACATTTAGTTGATTCATTTTGCTTTTCTTTTTTTACTGTGAACCCACTATAAAAATCACAAGTTTCTATTAATTATTTATTCGTTTAAGTATTACATATTTACTTTGGTGTTGTTAGATTTGTATTGTTGATTGTCATTTATGCTTAGAAATATTTACTTATATATGCTTAGAGTTTTGTAATTAGTTGTAGATTGGTAGAGGTTTTGATCCTTGATAGTCTGCAAACTTTGTGTGTATTAGACAGCACTTTGGGAGCATGAGAGGTCATACCGTGTCTTATTGTTTTATGGTAGGATTAACGTAGTTGCGTCTGTTCTAGTCTAAGTGCTCTTTGTTTAGATGAACTGCAGGACTTCCTCACCGTGTTATCTAGGATGAACCATCTAGGGTGAGGGGGAGGCTACCCTCTTCCTGACCAAGGATGTTTGACCCTTTGATCAGCAGTCCACACACACACACACACACACACACACACACACACACACACACACACACACACACACACACACACAGGCAAGGTACTCTTTGTTTGTATGTAGACGTCGTATGTTAATGAACCTATGCATATTCATGTAACCTCAATAAAAGGACAGTGTTACGGGAGGACGGACGAGAGCAACTGGGGTCAAGCGAAGGAACGGTGCCTGTCCGGTTCTCTCCCGTGCACGAGAAACATGAAGAAGCTTGCCTACTTGTGTCTTGCTTTGCAGTGTAATTATATTGCCTTTAACGTTCCAGCGGATGGGTTCAAGCTACAAACCTATCAGGTGTTGTCTCTTGGGGGGGTCCTTTATCAGTTACAATTCAAAAATTTATGTCCTCAATTTTTCCAAAGATGTTCAGTGGGCCAGATTGGAGTCTTTGTGCCTTGTGTTTGACATCCTTGACCCAGAACCTTCTTGGTGTACTGACATTAGCGCTCTACATTTATTGCACTCACCGTTTGAAGCCCAGATCCTTGTAGCATTTCTTTTGTTCATCCACATAAAGGGCTAAAAAAAAGGAAGCTGATTAATGATTATTCACAATCACACAGCAGGAGTGGCTGCTGACAATTTTGAATGCTCTCAGCAGGGAAGTTCTAGTCAGTTACAGAAGGCCTTTTTTTTTAAGATACTCTAGTCTGGTGTAACCTAATTTTTCGACAGCTTTTATAAGAACTTACCAAAAGATAAATTAATATGCACTGCACTGAATGATTAAGGATGCTTACGTCCTTTTAAAAAGCCTCCTTGCTTGAACTCCTGGAGCCCAAATTCTTCTGGTCCGACTCCCACTAGCGCTACCCCGTTGGCCCTCAGGTCTGGCTCCAGTTTGCTGATCTCTGATGCCGTCCACCGACATACCTGACAGCCAAACCTGCGCAGGAAGAAGAGGACCACGGGCTGGTCCTGCCACAGAGACTGGAGCTCTACTTTCTGAAAGACAAGCCGAAAGAAACAGCAAAACACACACACACACACACACACACACACACACACACACACAGTAAATATATGAGGAGCTGGCCCTGTGTGTTATATGTGCAAATGAAACGTTATGTCACAAGTGAACATCATCATTATGTCACTTTAAAGGCCTCGTTACTCAGCAGTTGTTTCAGTGCTGGGGAGGGGGGGGAAACAGGTTTAATTTCGCTGCCTCGGCGGGGTAACAAGTCTACTACTTCATATCACAGCTTAATTTGAAAAAATAAAAAGGGGGTGGGGGGCACAAAAAAGCGAAGCAACTATCCGAAACGATAAATAAAGTCCACAGCTGTAACCCTCAGCAGCCGCCCATCTACGTAACTCACCTCCTCGCTTTCATCGCTCTTCAGTAAGTTTTTTCCAACTTTAGCAAGGTCGACTGACGCCATTTTCTCCGAGCCGGGTAAAAGACTCCGAAACACCACGAATTAAGTTCACAGATCAAGGTGACAAGCTTCGGGAGTGAGTGACTGTACAGTAAAGACGTCTGTTACACCCGCATAAACTGTTGCAAAACATCTACATCCGTATACGCCCACTCAACACGAACCTCCAATAATATTCAACTGGAACTGAAAACACAACCAATCAAGGGGCGTGCTACGAGTCGCTTTCAGCACGTGCAGAGAGTACTACAAGCAGCTTTTTTTCTTTCTTTCTGTTTTTTTGTAACACGGTGTAGTAGTTGTTGTTTTAAGATATCTGTTGATGCACATGTGAAGCATGTGCGGAACAATTTTAAGCTGACCCCATGCTCTGTGCTTACAGTCGTGGTAATATCTATATGTTGTGTAAGGTTCAGCACAGGTGAGCTCAAAGGTGGGATTTTATTGCATGGTCTCTGTTTACTCTCTTCGCTCGATTATATATCCATTTTATAGCTCTTTAAGTTCATCCCATGTCCCAGCCTTCTGTTTTCTATTAACTCCACAGCAAGTTGTGCCACTCCATCTGAAATCACCTCAGGCCCCGTGGGTAGTCTTTATCTGTCCTCTACCCTTGTGAACAGAGATCTCCGATGTCGTTCCTGGGATCTGCTGGAGCCACCCGCCCAGTTTGGGGCTTCCTGTCTGAGTGCTCAGATTACCACCGGGACCACTGTTGCCTTCACCCTCCACATCTTTTCGAGCTCTTCTCTCATCTCTGGTATTTCTCGAGCTTCTCATGTTTCTTCTTCCTGATGTTGCTATCACTTGGTATAGCTACATCTAGCACTATAGCCCTCTTCCTCTGCCACGTGTGATTAGATACTCATCACCAGTTTGTCCCTTTGTATCTGGAAGTCACACAGGATCTTAACTCGGTCATTCTCAACCACCCTAGGGGGATGTGCTATTTTGACCTCCAGACTTCGAGACCATATTCAGCACAGATGTTTTTGTATACTATGCCAGACACTTGCTTATGGTGTTCCATGTATCCCCTGCTTGCTGGCATCTTGCGCCCTACTGTTATGTGCTAGATTGTCCAAAGGACATCTTTGCAGAGCCTGCACCTGGGGTCTTGGCTGATGTGGTCGACCCCACTGCAGAGATACTTTTGACAAAGGTGGGAAAAAAATCTGAAATGATTAAATTCCTATGTACACATTTAAGATACTGTTGTCTTCACTTTCTGCTGCTTATTTTACTGATTTTTAGAAGAAAATTGTTTCTCTACTTACTGTAGATCAGCCCAATTACACAATGTAACAAAACCTTTTTCCTCTGTATATTTCTCGGTTGCTCATGTCTTAAATGTAGAGAAAAAATATTATTCTTTTCAGAATGTTCTCTCTTGTGACCAGGACAGTAACATTTTCTATTCTTTCTACTTCATTGTGTTATGAGACATCACTGACTATGTTACTTGCTACCTTAAACAAAAAAAATCTGTTTCTATATCAATGGGATGTGTGTAAGATGTATAATATTTGCGGTCTCGTTCTGCTCACTGCTCAGGCTGGTCAAGGCAGATGGCTGCCCCTGCCTAAGTCTGTTCTGCTGAAGGTCTTCCTGTTAAAAAAAAGTTCTTCCTTCCTGCTGTTGCCAATTATTTGCTCATTGGGTCATTGGGGGTTCTTTCTCTCTTTTAAGATCTTTAGCTTACAATATAAACCAACTTCAAACAACTGTTGCTGGGAAATGATTATATAAATAAATCAGCATTCAATCTAACCAGTTCTCCAAATAGAAACCATTTCATTAAAAAGATATCAACCTCAGTAACAATAAATTTAATACACTATACCTACGGGGGTGTTTCCATCTCTCATGTACCAAGGTGAACATCCTGCAGGCCAGATTAACCTGCTACAAGTCAATTAGACATAATGAGCCTGTTATCAGAGGTGGCCCTAAAACCACTTTAGTATTTCTGCAGGGACCAGAGCTATCTTTCGTGCTGCCATTTTAAATAAAGGGCGGTCGACTCCTTAAATCTTGAAGGAGCTGTTAAAGAAAGCAGCCTTACATCCACCTGCTGATCTGGGAGCGGCCTCAACGACACACCAAACTGAAACCCCCATCTGCTGTTATTTCCCTCTGTCAGTGCCAAACATCTAATCCAGGTGGGACTGCTCATGCAGAACAAGTACTGTTTTACAAAACATGCATTTTCAAATGTCATAATGCAAAAAAGTGTGAATTTGCACAAGACTTTAGGCCAGCTACAGTTTACCTGAGTATTCTTGATATGACAGCTCTACGTGTATCCTAGCAAAAGGTTCTGTAGCCATTTGACCTTTCCTTTAACACAGTCCTCTCACTCACTGCTAATGAGGGGTCTAACTGTGCCAGCAGCACCTTGGGGGGGGGGGGGGGGGGGGGGGGGGGGGTTGCACATTTTCTAGACGGAAAGACATGTTTTATAGACACAGTGTGAAAGGGCATGCAACACTCTTTGATGTAGCCTAGGATTTCACTCTAGCTCTGGTGGGTGTGTCACATGTATTACCCAACCGGCGGCAATGTGAAGCCTTCATAAACATGTTATACTAAAAAGGCAGTGCACACAATGGGCCACACCCTGATGTGCTGTGGATACATGCTATAGGGACAGGAAGCAATGCAACACCATTTGACTATCTGACTGAAAAAAAAAAAGCGAAATATCTGCACAAACATCGTGGACAGGAAAATAGTATACAACCACATTCACGATGCACACAGAAAACTGAAAAAAGCCGAGCTGTCTGCATTTATATGTGTGGGTTATTTCGAATTTCCTGCTGCTTTCTTATCGGAAAAGTCACAGTTGAATAAAATAAAAACTATCTAGCAAGTCAAAGTTTCAGTTAAAAAGCAGGAAAGACATAAAAAAGTAGTTCAAGAATGCATAATTAAACAAAGATTAACCAATATGATAAAATAAAGGTGTGAATTTATTTTCCTATAAAAGAAAAAGGAGTGCAATTTATTAAACCCGTTTACCTGAATTTGGAATATAATTATTACATTAATATTGCTGCTAAGTACTAGGCTCATACTGGAGTAGTGCTGTATGCAGATAGATAGGTCCTCTGTGCTGATGTTGCAGGGAGGGGCGTGACGTCACGGGAGAGACGGGGAGGAAGACGCGAAGGGAGGGGGACAGATAGGGAGGGGGGGGGGATGAGGAAAGGGGAAAGGAGAAGGGACGAAGGAGAGAGCGGGGGGATGACTGCATCAAAGGAAAACAAAAAAACAATCATGACTCCTGTAATTCATACTACGGTTTCTATACATCACAAAGGTTGCTGTGGTTATCTACACAGTATGCCGCAATAAATGACGAGCCGCCCCGAAAAGGTAATTATCCTCTTTCACGTCGTAATGTGCACGCTTTTTATTTATTTATTTATATTTCTGTGCATCCTCTTACACAGTAGATCGCCTAATCGTCACCTTAAGAGTCTATTGCAAACAGAAGAAAAAATCGAGGATCATGTCTCTTAAAAAAAAAAAAAAAAGCAAAAAAGGCTCTGGGTCGGCAGGCTATCAGTCAAGTATTTCTATTAAATGTGAGCGACAATGATGCGTTATCCTTGTGAATGTCCTGAAAGCCGTCATTGACATCCACACCGCTTACATTGTGTCCTGTTTGAGCTTCCTACATGAAAAATTAAAATGGAAACAGGCGTCATGAGCGCTGCCGCATAGTACACTGCTGTAGTCAGCCACGCAGAGCACATGGGCTTTGCGCACAGCATGCGCACTGGTTGCAGTGCGTCGTGCCCACCGACGGTGTCTGCACATGACTGCAGTGTCCTTTTGGTTGCACTACATAACCATTAGCAGCACCAAGTTAATGCTGTGCTAGACCGTGCTGATCTTGAATCAAGTCCAAACAAACTTTTGCGCATGTCTGACTTGTAATTCATCATTGGTATCACCCTTTAATATGTTCCAGTTGCTGCTGGCTTGAGAGAGATGTCATCTCCAGGAATGGGCACCCCCAGTGACCCCCTCTTGGCCAGTCCAGGAGGGAGGTTTTCCACAGCTCAGGAAGGTATCTGGAGGAGCTCACTTCCCAAAACTGCCAGCTTTCCAACTTCCACCACTCGGCACCTCAGTCACAGAGCCAACAACTTCCAAAGACAGCCAAAGCGGAGGAAGCTGATAAGACCTTCGCCTCCTCCGCCACCCAACACACCTTGTCCCCTGGACCAGTTGGACCTCAGTGAGCTTCCCCCGAGACGTACCTTCCAGGAGCTGCTCTTCAATGGCTGCATCTTGTTCGGGATTGAATTCAGCTACGCCATGGAAACAGCTTATGTGACTCCAGTGCTTTTACAGATGGGCCTGCCTGATCAATTCTACAGCTTGGTGTGGTTTATTAGCCCCATTCTCGGTAAGTAAGCAGCAGAGGTAGACGACTAGCTGCTGTACAGGCATATGTAATGTATAATAAGAATCCTAGTTGCATGGATTCTAACTTTGTATTTCGTTTTGACTTGAAGGATTCCTCGTTCAGCCTCTCATAGGAGCATGGAGTGATCGTTGCACATCCCGGTTTGGGCGAAGACGACCTTTTATTTTCGCCTTGGCAATAGGTAAGACGAATTAAAGCAGTACCATAGTGTTTTTGAAATGCAATTATGTGAAGCTGCGTAGCTTGCAAGTGACAGTGTTGATCAAATGGTAAATAATCTGCAATTATATGGTATAGTTACCTCAAATGTTAGCACTTTTGTGAAGTGCATTACAACATGTTTCTTATTGCTGTTATTTAGAAGAATGGTCAAAATCATAGCAGTTGTGGCCTCAAAGCAAATCCTGCATTTCCTCTGATGCAGCTCAATCAATAAGCAGTTCATTCCTGTAAAATGCTCAAATAAAACCATGGTTGGATAATCATAACTAAAGACCATAGATAGGAACTTGGCCACAGGTTCACCAAAATGCATGTGCTCCACCTAAGCACCTAAGTGTGGTTGCATAACACAGGGGAACTTATACACATACCTACTCAGTCTACTGCTTTTCTGTTACACTGTATACATGCCATGCTAGTACAGTGTGACATACAACATCTCAGATACATTTTAAAT